CCTAATCGATATTTCTCACGATCGATTTTTAAACGGGAAGAATGGCGGAAAGAAGCATGCCTCATCTGTAAAAAAGGAAGCGTTATCCAGAAAAATCACCCAGAAAGAGGTATTATCCAAAAGTTCTCAAGTAAAAATATAAAACAATAGTTGCTAGATTTGTGTATGTATTATATATTTTTAAGATAAAACGTGCATTTTTGGCTTCAACTCAAAGTAAGATTTAACCAAATAATTATTACATATAATTTTCAATAATTAAAGAAATAATAACATATAAACATTTAAACAGAACATACTGTGCTAAAAGTTATTTATAATTTTATACCAAAATTTAATTTCAATTCTAACCATAAAAAATTCTAACCATGATAAATTATGACCTTGTAATATGACTATCTTTTTATTATATTTGTACATACTATGCTTCTACGTTTACTCATCTGTTGATTCTTTAACCTCATGCTGCATAATTTTTAACAATTCTAATATTAAATTCAAAAATAATTTATTAAAGATGTACGTATTCAATGGCTAGAAGAATAATTCTACTGCGTAGTATAATAAAATTTCTCACTTATCAATTTAAGGTATTGACAATGTTTCATCTAGTGTATGAATATTTTCTTTTTTAAGAATTTCTCATGAATTTTGTGTACTTGATTTAGGCCAGAATTTTTTATTTCCAGTTAACATTTCGTGCGAAACACGCGATTACAGCGCCAACAGTGAAGTACACAATATACATCCTATGATTCTCGAACGTAATCGATATTTCTTACGATCGATTTTTAAATGAGAAGTATGGCGAAAGGAAGCATAGCTCATCTGTAAAGAACAAAGAATTATCCAGAAAAATCGTTCAGAAAAAAGTATTATCCAAAAGTTTTACTCTTATATTTACTGGTATCTTATCTCGTACGTTTTTTAAATAAAATTTGAAGTTAATTATTGTTTCACTTTCACATATTTGCCTTCATTTGACATATTTGTTCTAACTTTTGACTTCTTTTCGTGAAGGTTGTAAAGATAGCACAGAATGCATAAATGCCTTGATGAACAATCTGATGAACTTTCACGAAAAATTGGTAACATTTTATTCATTTTAGGTAACATTTACTATATAATTTATATATATTTGAAGTACAATTCACAATACGTAATTTTGTAATTCTATGGGATAATAAGGATGAAAATGGAAAAGATTAAATTAATATTTTATTTCGAATATGGAGATTGTGGTAACTTAATGGTATATACTTTCAAATGAATATATATTCTTAGATTATTAAATTAATTTTATAAATTATAAATATCTTATTAGATTTATAAATATCTTATTAGATTATTAAATTCAAAGTTTGTATACTTTTGCTACAATATACATTTTAAACGATTCAGAACAAGATTTCACACATGTATGATTTTTTAAATACATTTAGCTATGAAATTTTGATTTGTGCAAACATTTTCGAATATTCATAATACGTGACATGATATATTACTAATGTGCATACATTTTAATAATGAACATTCAGAATACAATTTCTACAAATATTTCTGCAAATATTGAGAAATATTTTATAGTTTCCAACTAATATTTTTAATGCATGCTCAAGTTTATAATA